CTTTAACGAAATATCAACATACCAGCACATACTATGGTTTTTTATAGTGAATTTCCATGAATTCTAGATTTTTAGGGGGGTACCCAATTTGAAAAATCACCCTAACTAGGGGTAAGACAACGAGATATCGTATTCAAATGTTCTAGAAAAATTGTCCTCAAGTAATTTTCTAAAAAAAACTATTGGACAACCATGTCGTAAAATGCTTTAGTTAGGCAGTATACAACCGACATCAGGACAACATACCAAAATTCATAAAGAGGGCGGTACCAAAAAATTAGGAATTTTCCCAGTCCTAGTGAATTGGGAAAGACCGTCTTGTCAGAAGTGACCCATCGTTCGTGCAAAGTATATGTGAGTGATACTATTTCTTACAAGCCAAATCTAGCTGAAAAATTCAACTAAATGTAGCGAACGTAGCATAGTGAAGTGAAAAATTACTGTTAACTCCTACCGAATCGTTCAGATAAATGCTCACTACCAAAATTTGATGCAGTTGATGGCTGGCTAAATTCTGGAATTTGTATTTTTCCTGTGACCCAGATCATGAACATTTTTGTTAGTGTAAATTTCAATGGAACTCTTCGATAGGGTAGAGAACTACTTCGGCCTAATCGCCCATTTTGGGCCTATCGAGCAGAAAACTTCAAATAAATCCATGATTTCAAAGCTAACAAGTCAATTATCCGTTTGGTACGATACATTAGTTAATAAGCTACGGAACGAAGTCAATGAGAACGCGTGATATGAAGGTTTGCACCCATTATTCCCAAAAACAAAAGAAGCGCTCCGACCGAATCAATTTTTATCTTCATCTGATAGGCCGAAGTGAATTCATTGACGTTTCAATTGCGTTTCAATGCGTTAGGCCGAGTTTAGAATCCGTAGGCCGAGTTTGGCGTCAAGAAGCAGTGTTAGACTTTTGACAATATCTCAACTATTGGTATCTCTTTATCAAATATTACGGTACATACGGAAAGGTAAATAAATTTGGAAGCCATCAGTAATAATAACATTCCGTTTGGTGCTAAACTGCGCTAGATTAAGAAAGACTAAGTGCGGGTTGTGCTTAATAGGCCGGAAATGGGGTAGTTAACCCTATCTTCGACCTTTTTTTTCCCAAGAAATACCGAAATGAGCCATGAGCTGTTTCTCGATTCCTGGGTAGCCAAAAACGGCAAAGAAATAGAAATACTAGTTGAATGAGTATTACATACTCAGCAACGTTTTCCTTGTTCGGTAATTTTTTACCGAAAAAAATCGGTAAATGAAGAATGTTACAGATTTTTCGGTAAACAAAAATAATTTTACCAACGTTCGGTAATGTTTTACCGAAGTGACGGTAATCTGTCTTTTATATTGACGAACTTCGTTAAAAAGAGTACAGTAAGAACTGTAAAACAAAGCAAACGCCGAATTCGGTTAAAAAATACCGAACAAACTGCAAATTACAGAAACGTTTACCGAACTTCTGTAAATAATTCCAGACTGTCAATCGAAAGACGGTCATATTTATTTCAAGTTTTAAAGTAAACAGTAACAGTGGAAAGTGATCGAAAAATCCAGTGAAAACAATGTAAGTATGTTCGCAAATACAGATGAATAATGCATCTATTAAATATTTCTAATGAGATTGATAATTACATGTATTTCTTTCATTTTCATGATTGCTTTCGGGATCAGGTTCCAGTCAATGTTTCTGGACTGGCATCCCCATGGTAGCCACCTGAGAAAAGAATACTCCAGCGAGCAATATATGTTATTTTAAAATATATTGTTGCCTAGATGTTTACTATTGAATAAAATCTCGTTAATTATAATGCAAAAATAGCTTTAGATTTTAATTCACCGGAAAAAAAAAACAAAAAATACACAATATCAACAAATTTTCATGTACGAGACAGTTCAGTAAAAAATTACTGAATAGTTCGGTAAATAATTACCGAATTGTTCGGTAATTTTGACAGCTCATCAAAAAATCTGTTTACCGATCGTTCGGTAATCGTTTAGATTACCGAACTGATTACCGAACGTTCAGCTGTTGAAAGTTCGGTAAAAAATTATCGAATACGGTAATAATTTCTAAGTGTGTAAGCATGACATTTTTAAAATTGAATATATTTAAGAGCACTTGAGCAAAACATTTGACCAATTCAAAAAGATAAAAGTCTCTCACAATAGTTTTTTTCTGTTATTTGAGCGCAGGCAGGCAATAATCATTTTGATTAATTTAAAAAAATCGGTATTAATCGGTAGTCGTTTTTTTTTCCTTTGATTTGTTTTTCGTCGATCTTGTTTTCCGTACTGAGTATAAATGCTACCGACGCCAGGGAGGCAGCTCCCACATCTGGACCCTACCTATCGACCCATCAGCTCATGAACCGGGGACCAACGGGTTTACTTCCCTTCCGAAGGAAGGTGTGATCAAAGATGTTATGCCTCAGAAAATCCCGGTGGCACCGACTGGGTTTGAACCCAGGCCTTTTGGGGTGAGAGGCAATCGAAACCGGTATTCCGAGGAACCTTATTTGTAAATCGGTTTCCAGTTCAAATCAGTACAAATACCGAAAAATCTGTATATCTGACAACGCTGCAGGACAGTAAAGATGAGCACACAGTAGCTCTAAATGGAGTGTTTTACTTTTAGCGTGTCCTGAAGATGTTAACTTCAGAACGCAGCCGTTCAATCGGTCGACGGGAAGAGTCGATATTGGGGCTAGTGAAATGTGCAAATGCATTGCTATTGCTACAGCTAAAGCGAAACAAGTTTGTAGAATTTGTTGAAAGCAGAGTTGTAACAGCTTGTATTGGCTATTAAAAGCATCAGCAAACGCACCGAGAAACGTTAAATCTAGCGAGTTATTAACAAAGGAGAAAATCGATGAAGAGAATCGATCATCGCATATACGCCCTTATGTATGCTCACTGTCGAAATGTTTTGTGGTGTTAGTATTTCAAAACTAACATTTGAAAGGGGCGGAAGAGCCAAAATGTAAACAAACCATATTTTGCCACATATAGAGAGAATAGTTCACAAACTACTCGATAAACACGAAAAAGTAGAAGAAAAAATCACTTCAAATCATCAAAAACATTTCTTCTTACATGGCGTATTTCCAACTTTCAACTCTATGATGAATCTGGTTGTTACGCCTTGCACCAGAACTTCGAATTATATCGTTTTAATATGCCAAATGTTTTGATTCTGTAGTATCTAGTCACGCCCGATTTATTTGAAATGCATCCGATTGGTAGTTCACGTGTAAACAACGAACAAAAAGAAGACCAAAAAATCTCCGGGCGTTATTCCACTCTCACAAAATTTGCGAACGAAGAACCAAGGCGGAACAACAAACAAAAAATCCCGAGGGTGTACTTCCACGGCGTATCACCAGTGTTGGCAGTTCAAAGGGTGGAAGATCTGGGGGGTAACAACATGTATGAAATTATCAGGGCGTATGATGTTTTCTTCTCAATTTTACGGCAAAGAAAACTTTTTTTGATTTTTTAGTGATGCATGATGATAGATTACACTATTAACTATATGTCAAGCTTATAAAATCAACCAGAAAATGGAAAGTCGTGAAATAGGATTAATTTTTAGGTCAATAAAATTCAGAAGCGATTTTCTCGATATGGTCTTTTTGGAATTACGCCCTTTTCAAATGTTAGTCTAGATTTCATTGCAATTGGCGTTGACGGCGACTCTGTAGCTCTTTACTCCTATAGAGATTGCTGACGTTTATCGTACGCACACTACGTCACGTATACGTATACGCAAAATGTTTTCATCGGGAAAAAAAACTTCATAGCGGAAAATTTTCCCGATGAAAACAAATCACTGACACAATCATACTTTAGCAATCTCTATGAGAAAATCCATAAGCAAACGTCAGACTGTGCGTGAAACATGGCGGACTTTGTACTATCCTTTCACTCCACCGAAAATTCCCATAAGAAACTGTCTATATTTGCAGGAAGAGCAAATTTGTGGACGGTGCCGTCAACGCTAATGTTTGTTTTTACACGAAGCAGCTGTTGGCAGTGACGTAAATCTCACTGTTCGCAGTATATGCATTGTTATGGTAGAGTGACGTGGTCACTTGAGTGCTCAGTAATATTTACAAAATTTTTGCTTCTAACACCAGCAAGCCCCTTTTTACCTGAACCTTAATAAAAGTCATTGGTTCCACCGGTCGACAAGTTGGCCCAATGAGTACAGAGCGAGGGAAAGCAGATCGTAAAATATTGTTTTGATTAGGCTCTGAACCATTTAGCGGATTTTTTAAACCTTTGGTTCAAATTTTACAGATGGAAAGTTATCGATTAACTCGAGTATTAACTCTGCTATCCGAGTGTGGTTATTTATGACAAAAAAGAAGTTAAATTTTGACAACCGTGGTTGAGTTCTGCTCGAAAACCGATCGATCGGTAACACATGGATTTTCGAACATAAAAAATAACTTTCGAAATGTCACTTTTAATCACGCGTTAAATTTTACTCGGCAGATTTTTCACAGCCAAGGCTGTACTAATAATAAAAAAAAATGTAAATGCAATTTATTACGTCACTAATTCCTTGTTCGCACAATGGTTTCACTCACACACTTAGTAGTAGTAGTATATTTTTTTTTTTGTTGATTATGATAGTACATTGATTTAACATAGAGATTGCAAAAGTATGATTGTGTCAGTGATTTGTTTTCATCGGGAAAATTTTCCGCTATGAAGTTTTTATTTCCCGATGAAAACATTTTGCGTATACGTATACGTGACGTAGTGTGCGTACGATAAACGTCAGCAATCTCTATTTTAATAAATTGAACATTGTTTAACACTCACACACTTTACAGATTGCTATACCTCGGTAAACTATTCTTTGGTGTTGAACGACCCCCACCCACGTACGCAGTCATCGATGACAGCAAACAAGCATAAAATTGTTTACGTTTTAGAAACAGTAAATAATTTTCGCCTCCAGGTTTAAGTGTTGTAATCAAATAGTGGTCTACATTAGTAATCGTGCCGCAAAATGATGAATCAAATGGGAATGCACATGCAACAGGGAGGAGTGGTGCCTGGAGGACCCGGCGGACCGGTTGGAATTCCCGGTGGACCGGTCGGAGGAGTTGGTGTTTCTCCGGTAATGATGCAGTCTCCCCAGATGCAACAGCAGCAAGTAGCAGCGCAACAACAGCAGCAGCAGCAGCAGCAACAACAACAGCAGCAAGCTCATCAACAACAGGCCCAGCAAACCGAAAAATTGGAGAACATATCGAAGGTGAAGGGTTTGGTTGGTCCGCTGAGAGATTCCCTTTCTACGACTATTAAAACGGCAGCTCAGCTGCTGCAGCAAAACAACTTGAATGATGCGGGCACGTAAGTAAGGGCATTTAATGATTTGAGGCAATATCAATTGTTGTGTTCTTGTTTTGCAGGAAAGGTGGTGATTTGAATACTTCAACTCCCCGTTTTGATAAACATCTGGAAGAATTCTACTCAATCTGTGACCAGATTGAGTTGAACCTGGTAAGTACATTGTTTTATTTTCGGGCATGTCATGTTTTGTATTCTTGGATCTCTTTACCTTAAATTCCATCAGGTGGCTTCTTAGAATTTAGAATCGTGTTGTGAGTTGCTGTTTTCCTCTGCCCCACCATATGTCCTTGCAGAACCAAAAATAAAACCGGAATCACTTGGCTAATAATTTTCCAGTTACAATAGTTCACAACTGCGCACATTTTTCTGCTATCTGTGAACAATTAATGGCGATACTAAAAATTTAACCTACCCATACAAACATTGCTATTCCTATGCATATGAGTTCAAACGCTAATAATTTGTCTGAATTCACTCGGATTGATTTACACTCTTCAGTAAAGTTGTTCTTCTTAAGGTACGAGGTCTTTCATTTCGGTTGTACACACACACACACACACACACACACACACACACACACACACACACACACACACACACACACACACACACACACACACACACACACCTGCTCTCCTTTCTCCTGCTCGGGTATTGTTTCCATACAAACTTCAAGCCCTTTCAGGAAACCTTTCCCGTGAACCAAATGACCATATTTTTGGCGAGTGTTTCTGACCCCCCCAACAAGCATTCTAGCAATATGCGTTTGAAATGCCAGACTTTACGCGTATGTAAATTTGCCGAATTAGGTCCTACGCAGAATTATGGCACTTTGCACTCTACCTGGACCTAGATATTTAGAGGTGCTTGATATGGCAATTATTGTGAGACATGCAATCATAAATTTTAAATTCGAAGCTTTTTTAATCCACAGTCAGTCCATCCAACCGGGAAAAAACCGGGAATTCGTATTTGCTGGGAAAAAATCGCACTTGGAAAAATCATATATTCATCCCGAGTTATTTTGGTTTTATCATAGTCTTGTAGGCCATAATTTGGTCTCGAAGAATCCTTTAAACATTTAGAAAACTTGTTATGTTACTTGGAATTAATCAATTTTTTATCAAAAATTATATTCTCTTGTTTACACATCCGTTTAAAACTTTCATATTATGTCTTGGTAAAGCATCTATAAATTCTTAAAATTACAAAAATCTCCATCCTACCACGATTTAAGCTAGAGTATTTTTTAAAAATTATTTTTGTGTCATTAGAATAAATGTGTTTGAATTCTTTTGCTACAGTTTTCCGAGTAAGTATGTCTAGTATAAAACCTTAGCGAGGCGAAGCTACTTGAATTATAGAGGAAGCCAATAAAAAAATGTCCGATCTCAAACTCCTTGCATGCCCGTTCATGCTTGGTATGCAAATGCGCGACATTGAGTCTGCAGAATTTCAAGAATAGATATCCGGGATGATTTGGATAATCCAACAACGTTATTTTTAAACAAAATTATTAATTTTAAACGATTTTATGAGTCCCTTGAAGCACAAATGCTCAAAAATAGCTCCAGGACAATTTGGAGAATGATAAACATTTTAGTAATATTTTTTAGAAACCCACAAAATGTTGTTTGGTTATAGAACTTCAAGATCTAAACTCCAGGATGATTTGAAGAATTTTTAATACGGTGATTCTCCTGACAGGTCCTTTGTATTGATTTATGCTTTTTCAGACATACCAAAGTAACATTTACGCTAATTTTTTGCAGAGACTCTTTGATTTTACACGAGTTTATGATTTTATGAAATTTTGGACTTCTAGATCATCAACATGTTAAAGTTAACCTCATCCTATCATATTTGTTCTACAAAGTAGACGTATGGTAGAGCAATTCAGCTGAAAAGTATATGGTTAATAAACGGTTCTTTTTAATGCCGTTTTTGTTTAAGGCGGGATGTTTGGGTTTTTTCTTCAAATAACCGGGAATTGAAAAATTGGATTTGTGTCCTGTGACCAGGCTTGCTTCCACTCATTTGCTATAAAAAATGATTTTCGCAATTTTGGAATCATTAGATGTTATAATGATATTTTGTACTTGTTAGATACAAGAAGCGGTTGAAAGGCAACCCTAGCAGAGAATGAAAACATAATGAAAACTAAATTTGATATTTTGATACAAGCGTTCGGGATAACATATTTTGCCTACCGTGTGGTCGAGTTAACAGTAATCATAACAAAAATGAGATCTAAATGGTATGTGAAGGATATAAAAAAGATAACAAATCATGTTTTCTTGATAACAAATCTATGTATGCGTTTTAATATCAGTAATTTCGTTAAAAATAAACAAAATATGTCATCTATATGTTATTATAACTATGGTAGGAAAACAAAAAGTAAAAATAAAACTAAATTAGTTATTATTTTGGTATCATGATAGGGGAATTTACGTATTCTCAGCGACCTTCTTTCTATAGCCTTTTTCTCTATGGAACGCACACATATGCATTATTGGTTTGTTTACAATCTTTTGCTGCCAGCTGCTCTAACAATTTCAGTCGAAAGAATTGTCAAAAACTGTTTTGAAACGCTTTTACAAAGCTCCAATCTTCTCTAGTGAGAGCGAGTATTGTCGGCAACCAGTTTTTCTTCGGCAACCGTTCCATTTGAACTGCATGTAAATCTGCTGTTCTATTATCGGCAACTTGAAATCAGCTACAATTTGTAGTGCGTGTGTTTCATTTCAAGAAAACCCTGCTAGATTGCTTTTTCTCAATGGTAAAAATATAGTCAAATTGAAGCTGAAAGCATAAAGAATCGTTTACATGCATTCAGCGAAGTGTTTTCGTAAGAAAATCCAGTGAAAATAGTGTTTCAATTTGGACCCTACCTATCGACCCATCAAGTCATAGACGGTGTTACTTCCCTGAAGGCGTGATCAGAGATGCTATGCCTGAGAACATCCCGGCGGTGCCGACTGGGATTGAACCCAAGCCTGCTGGGGTGAGAGATAATCACGCTTACCGCTTACACGCTTAAACCGCAAGCGCCGTTGATATCAAGATTCAAAATCAAAAAATGTTATCAGTAAGTTTTCATTTATTCAGAATAAAAACAAACCTATATTTTAATCAGTTCTATCGATATCTATCTTATATCCTTTAGTAAATTAAATTCACAGGTAGATTAATATCAATAAATGTTTTAAATATAACTGTAAAAATCATAATTGTCTTTGTGATTTTTATAAAGAAAACAGCAAGCATCCTGATTGACTCGTAAAAGTGAGTGGAAGCAACCCTGCCTGTGACCAATATCCCAAATTTCAACAGTTTACAAAAGTAGGGTTAACTACCCCATTTCCGGCCTATTAAACACAACCCGCACTTAGTCTTTCTTAATCTTGCGCAGTTTAGCACCAAACGGAATATTATTATTACTGATGGATTCCAAATTTATTTACCTTTCCGTATGTACCGTAAGATTTGATAAAGAGAAACCAATCGTTGAGATATTGTCAAAAGTCTAACACTGCTTCTTGACGCCAAACTCGGCCTACGGATTCTAAACTCGGCCTAACGCATTGAAACGCCAATAAATTCACTTAGGCCTATCGGATGAAGATGAAAATTGATTCGGTCGGAGCGCTTCTTTTGTTTTTGGGAATAATGGGTGCAAACATTTATATCACGCGTTCTCATTGACTTCGTTCCGTAGCTTATTAACTAAAGTATCGTACCAAGCGCATAATTGACTTGTTAACTCTGAAATCATGGATTTATTTGAAGTTTTCTGCTCGATGGGTCCAAAATGGGCGATTAGGCCGAAGTAGTTCTCTACCCTACTTAAATTGTTTGTTTATCATGTTTTATAAGCCCAGTTCAGTTTTTTTTAACAAAGGTCTGGAATAATATTAAAAAGAACATTGACTTTTATCGGACTGAAATCTTAGAGAAATGTATACCAGAAGGGAGAAAATGTTGCAACGCACAATTCTGTAGGGAGCTCGTATACCGAGAGCTGGCACTCTACTGTGCGCAGCTCCTAATGATTGCGCTCTCAAATATGTTGACCGAATCTCGATTTTAATTATTTATTTTTAAAACGTTTTTTAATCTTCCTTCGTTAGAACACGAAAAGAATTGTTTTCAGCGGTAACACAAATATTGGTGTAAAATATCTGGAAAAAAAACACCCCAAGAAGGAAGAAGAAACTATACAGTTGAAGACACAACATTCTCCGGGAAACTGAACATAAAATTTTCGTTTTAGAAAACCGCTAAACTGTGCATGCAACAAGGAACATCTTCACAGCAGTACTTTCCCATCCCGGTAGCACCAACTCAACCCAACCCGGCAGAAACCAATGCGCTATCCTACAATCAGTATTTGGATGTGGTAAAGATTCAGATCGGCTATGCCAAAGACATACACGATACCCTCATCTGTGCGGCTCAAAACATCTGCCCTAGCGAATGATAGAAACCAACGATCGGTTGCGACATGTCGGATTAAAATGAAAGGTTTGGTTAGGTCGTCCAGTAAGTGTGCGTTCAAAAGAAATCTGTCACTTTATTCCATATATGGCAACTAGAACTATAATAAAATCTATAGAATAATAAATTAATACATAGGATACTAAGAGATTCATTTTTCGCTCTCATTATAAGCCGTATTATCAATGCCTTGTTTTTGCTTCGCGGCAAGGTCGTCCGCGATGGCAGCCGCCTTCTCCTTATCCCGATGGTACCGTTCGATGTGAATATCCGTCAGCTTTCTGTTATTGTCGGAAAAGTACAGCTCAATATCTTCGAGGGTTCGTTTCTCCGTCTCCGGTAAGAAGAAATAGACAAAAAGAACGCCAATCATACCGCATATACCATAGAATAAAATTACTCCCGGCAGTGATAAGGAACTCTCAAGATTGAAATAAGTTTTAGTCGTTACGAATGTCATGACATAGTTGAGGGCTGCAGTTATACCGCATGCCAAGCTGCGATTTCTGGAATAAAAAGAGTAAAGGAAATTGTTACAATCAAAATCATCAATTGTAATTTCATGATACTGTACTTGAATGGGAACACCTCACTGAGCAAAATCCACGGCACCGGAAGCACACCGACGCTGGTAGCAAATGCCAAGGTTAAGAACAGGAACATGGCTAAATAATTCAACCCGTTAGCTGTGTTCACAGTCTCGTGCATATCGGATGATGACCATCCCGGCGGGAACACGTTGAAGGCATATATCGCCAACGAAAGACACGATAGCGATGTGAGGGTAAACGAGAACAGGGCCAATCTCCGTTTGCCAACAAATTTGATAGAGACCATGCAGACAATGTTTGCAGCCAATCCCAACAAGGCGGTGGACACCGTGGCCCAGTTCGCGTCAAGTGGCACTCCATATGCTTGGAAGATCTGCACCAAGTATGGTCGCATACCAGTCAATCCACTTAGCTGTCCAAAAGCAAAGAGCAACAATACCAGTGCAAATGGTCGTAAGTTACGCTTCCGCATCAGCTCTTGCAGCTTCATCCATTCGCTCGGTGGTGGGTGCTCACATTTAGAGTTTTGCGATTTTTGACATGGGGTGCACTGAGCTGCACTTTTGTTGTAGCGCTGCATTTCTTTGAATTCCTTCTCCACAGCTTTCGATGAAACCCAACCACGTAGCCACTGAAGTGACTTGCGAGCGTCTTCCTCTCGGTTTTTCGATAGTAACCACATGGGTGTTTCCGGTACGAAGCAAATGGCAATCATTGTGGTTAGAGGCACGCACACGCATATTGCAGCGGTGATTCGCCACGTAGTGACCGTTCCCAGGAGAAATACGAAGAAAAATCCTAACATCACTGCTACACCGGCACACGAGGTCAGGATACCTCGAATCGATGGTTGACTGGAATGAGTAAATCGGATTTAGTTTGTTATGCAAAGACATTATTTATCTAATCAAAGAAAAGCAGACATGACCATAATTTATGTTTTTTATGCTGCATGGAGGAAATTTCGTGCTCTTTTAAAAATTGTAACACTTTTGATCGCTTCCTCATAATCTGCATAGGGTATTTAAATTACACTCAGGTCTTTTCTTGCAGGGGGGATATGTACCGTGTAAAAAAAACAGCCAATGTTTTGTTTTTTTTCACATGTTAAAATATTTAAAAAAAAAAAACGGATTTTAATGCCAATCGTAATTATAGCATGCTATGGTTTACATAGACATGTTTTTAAAATGTCTGTATTTACACACAGAAAAATGATTTGTTTTTAGTATGCCACTTCATTACCTATGGCATGATCGTGCACAAATGGTGTACTATCCCCAACATTTCTCTGGGTCAATTAGCGAAATTGGAAGATGTAAGCATCGGAGCCGTGATTCGGAAGTCCGGAGAACTTTGAGATTTGGGCGTAATTGCTTTTATAAACATATAAGAATAAAAGAATAAACTCGTGAACAAAATATACGAAATGATAGAGGAACCATTCATCTATCTGTTTGTGTTGTTATTTTTTTAGAATGAGCTTTAATTCGCCAGAAATCGTCAAATGAAGTGTTTGTTTACAAAAGCAATTACGCCCTAATCTCGAAGTTCTCCGTAAGTATGTCGATGAAGCTTCTTTCCATGACAAGCAAAAATCTGGACGTAAACCGAACCCTGTTGACCGAAATCTGGACCGGAAAATCATGCCAGCTTTCACTCGCAAGAAAAGTGTTTCGGTTCGAGACGTGACTAAAAAAGTGGGATCCTCGAAGAGCAACGTCCAGCGGGCTAATACCCCGTTCACATTACAGCCTATATCACGTAATATAGGCTGTCTTGCAATGAGCACTCATACAAAGGATTTCCAGTGAAAACTAGATGTATGAGTGCTCATTGCAAGACAGCGTATATCACGTGATGTATTATGATTTTTTTGAAAGTGGACTTTACAAATAAGGGGTTGTTAAGAACCATTCAAAATAGATGTTTTCTTCATAAATTTTCGGAAAGGGAATTATATTAGAGCCTTTTTATTTATGATTTTATAACCTTAATGGTAATGGTTATGGTAGTCATTAAGGTCCATGGATGATTTTGTATTATCGGTCAACTTTACGTGGAATATATTGGTAATCATTAAGACAACCAATTCGCGATATATTCCACGTAAAGTTGACCGATAATACAAAACCATCCATGGACCTTACTGACTATCATAATCATTACCATAACATTTCTCAAACCATAAGTAAAAAGGTTCTAATATAGTTCTCTTTCCGAAAATATATGGAGAAAATAACTATTTTGAATGGTAATGGTTCTTAACAACCCATTATTTCAGTGCCAACATTTCAAAGGGGCGTAATTGCATTTGTAAACAATGACTTTCGTCTTCGATTTCTCGCGAATGAAAGCTCACTCATGAAAATGAATGACACCAGCAGGTAGATGAATGTTTCCTGTCCCAGCTAGCATTGGTAATTTGAAGGGGTGGGCTTTTATTTGCGAGAAATCGACGGCTAAAGCCATTGTTTACAAAAGCAATTACGCCCCTTTGAAATGTTGGCACTGATTTGTAAGGTTCTCTTCGAAAAAAATCATAATACATAAGGTTAAAACTTTATCACACAAACGTTCGTGTAAAGTTCCATAACCATTTCAATTTATGTTTAGTAGGGATTATAAAGAATTTTTAACCATTTTCGATAAGGTCAAGTTATGGTTCGCGTTTATGCGGGATGGTTTGGCAAGCCATTTGTGTGTGTGGTATGCTTTCCAAACCGTTTGTGACAACGGATACCATGACAACCGATGTTTACGTGCGTGAGTGTATAAACAAGCGTCTGTTACCCATGATCCGCAAACACAACGCCTCAGTACTGTTTTGGCCGGATTTGGCGTCGGTTTATTACTCCAAGCACACGGTAGCCTGGTATAAAACCAACAAGGCCCAATTCGTACCCAAGGAGATGAATCCGCCAAACTGTCCCCAGGCCAGGCCATTCGAAAATTTTTGGGCCCTAACCAAAGCATATTTGTGGAAACATGTAAAGGCAGTGGATTCCGTTACAAAGTTTGCGAAAGACTGGGAAAAGGTATCCAAAATTATTAGCGTGAGATCAAAAATTCGGTCCTAGGCTTAATACTGATTGGATCTCGAATTTTCTACGTTAAACTGTAAACTGCTGTAAACAGAACTACGTTATCGTTTTTTTTTTAAAATCGTGCTTAGACATTCTGGGACACCATATAGAAGCATATGTTTTATTTGAAAAGGTTCATCGTTCGACATTTTGGACTTAGACCTCTTGCGCCACCTCTAAATGTCAACGAAAAAAGTTCAATTTTTGATGTTACTTAATTAGTCCCAATAATCATTTGCCACATGGGAAAACATGTCCAAGAACGATTTTGACAAATAAGCCCCTACATATTTGAATACTTACTACTCATTTTAGTAGTTGTAATTACCCATAAATGGGTAAAAGTTTAGTAATTCCATGGATAGTCTCAATTTCCCTCGAATGCTTACGCTTACTTTTTAGTCATTATTGCGGTTACCATGTAGAGTATATTTTCCGTCGAGTCGTTAAATATTTGACTACAGGCAATTTTCTGCAGTTGTGAATTTGAATTATTTTATTAAGTCTGCTCACATTTAAAACTTGTGGCAAGCTTCTTAAGCCGATGTCTACAATCTATTTTCTCAATAATTTCCTAATAAATATCCCCAGGCATTAATTTTACAATTCTCTTCGATTTTTTTTTCAAAATTATTGCAAGAATTTACTAAAATTTATTTCCATAACTTTCTTTTAAGTCTCCTTGAATTATTCAACCCAATTTTCTTCATAATTTTCTTGTTAATTCCCTTCGAGTTCTTATCCGGATATGTTCGCAAATATCATCCTAGAATTTCCTCATCCATCTTTTCAGAGGGATTTTTTCTACTGTACCGTTGAAATTTCCTTTGCAACTTTTTAGCATGTCTTAGTAGAACCATAGAGGTAACCCTTAGACTAGTAGGTCCCAAAGAAAAGTGCTCAACTTTTTGGCTCAGCTCTAGTACTATCTCGAAACATAGGAAATCCACGGTAAAACCCTAAAAATGTATATATAAAAAATTGGCATGCACTCTACAATTTTTATTTTGAATTCGGTGATCCATATTTTATTTTTAATTCTTGCGAAATATTCGTTAGATTTTCATGGTAAATTCCTCAAAAAACATTGGATTAATTCTCAGATTTTTTTTAAATGCTCCTTAGAAACTATGTTATTAATATTAAAAAATGGCAAAACCCATTTTCCTTTATTACACATGTCATACATTAACACATGTCAAGCCAAGGCACGTTTATCCTCCTTAAAATTAAGTGGCATTGATACTTTGTTAATTGGAAAAAAAAATCATGCAGCAAGATTGTCCCATTGTATACCGCAATTATTGTTTGATTAGTATCAGGGTGTCGACTTCCTAAAAAAAAGTAATGAAAATCAGGGAATAATTTTTTGGATCTGGAAAATCAGGGGATCTCAGGGAATTTAATTCAAATTTAGCGAAATTGTTCTTTATAACAGAAACTTATTAATAATTATGACTGACTTCGCTAGTTTCAAACAACTTAATTACTCGGTTTAGTTTGAGGATGGTCTGACACAATTTAATATTCGAGTAGATTGGTACGTCTGCTCGATCCAGCTGTGTCCATCAAAAATCAATCCCTTGAGCGCATTGGAGCGCCTTTGAGTAAATGTAAGAATGATAAAGAGTTACGTTGGGTTTAGAAAGGACAAGTCATTGATCAACTCAGTTGAATTCAATTGGCTTGAAGTGTTGAGCCTGGTTAAATTTTTTTGAATTCGAGTTGTCTAGTCTGTTAAATGGCATGGCTTGTCTAAACCCAGCTTTAATAATGTTTTTTTTTATTCCTGAATACCTCTAGTTATTGCTCCTTATTGTGTTTACTTGATTAGCTCAGAGAAATAACTAAATGATATTTTAGGATAATGGTCTTGCTTGGGAGGATTTTTTTGTTTATTGCTTGGAGTAGCATTTTTATGATTGAATAATGATGCAAATATACGTAGACAAGCATTGCCTTGACAGCATAGAGTGGATTTATTGAGTATCCTAAGTCTTCATTGAAAACCTGGCTAGTTTGTAAAATTAGCTTCTCAACAAAGTTTTAGTATTGTAATGTTACTGTTATTGCAATTTAGATGGGATTAGATTACTGAATTTTGGAGGTGAATGCGCTGTTTTCACGAATTCTCACTGGAGGAATCCGCCCACGAATTAGCTTTTGGATAAGCGTACTATCTGGAATAATTTTATTGCCAAGATGGATCTTAACATGTGCTCAAGGCTAAACAAATATAATGGGATTAAAAACAAGTGTTTCATGAGTAAAATGCAGAGTGACCAGTGAACCGGGAACACTGGAAGAATGCTAAGAATTTGAAACAACAAGTAAGAAAACGGAAGATGATAAATATGGAAAAATATACCTCGCAATAAGATTTCATGACCCTTGGACTGGACCAGATTTTCAGGATACAGTCACTTTGAAGAACTATTAAGGGAATTTTAGATTTTTTCCAAAACAAATTTGAGCAGATTTCAGAATGAATTCTGAGGATAACACCAAGGTATTTTAGAGAATGTTTTCTAGGGAGTTTAAGGAAAATCTCTAAGAGAGTTTTTACTAGAACTCCCAATATTGAAGAGGATTCCAGTATTCGTGAAAAATACCAAGAGAAGCTAATTTTGAAGGTACAATTCCAAAATAATTCTGCGAAGATCTATAAGGAAATTTCGAGGATAATTCCAAGCGCATTTTGATTGGAATTTCTAGATAATTTTAAAGAGAATTCCATGCAATTTCCAAAAGAACTTAGAGGAAAACTTAAAGATAATTCTGAGCAAAATTTTGAATTCAATTCTCGGCGGTAGAATTTTCCCTGCGGTGCTGGCAGGGAAGGGGAATTATAAGTTTTGCTCATAAAAGCTAATAGTATTTTTTCACTTATTGATCGAGAATCTGAGGTGAAATGCTTGGGAACTCTATGAAGAATTTCAAGCAAATTTAAAAAATGGAAGTTCCAGTGAATTCTTAGAAATAGTTTAAAATTCGAAGAGCATGTAAGGACGAATTTTAAGAAGTTTTTGGAGTGTTCTACAGAGAATTTATGAACTGTTATTAAGACATTTTCAATGGACTTCCAGAGAGAGTTTCAAATTGATTTTAGAAGAACTTTCATTTGAACTCTCAATCAAATAAAAGACTGTAAAGTTTTGAGTGAAGATTTCGAACATGTCGTAGAACCAAATTCAAGATCTAGCAAAGGTGCTGATGTTTTAAAAATTGCCCATTTGACCTTCTCTAATTGCTCTTATAAGCTCCTACTTCCTTGATTTGTTGGGGACTTCCCTAAATTTCTCAGAACTTCAATACAATTCCTGACTGTCCTGAAGTTCCACGTAAAAAAAAAACGTTTAAAATCCAACCAACTATTGATAATACATTCACATGCCAAACATATTTTAAATGATTGCACTATATTATCTTGCTTCTATTTTAATACTTAGAGGCGGAGCAATATGTTTATACTTTGAGGATGTCTAGTGTAAATTGGCATTCGAAAAATCCTTAATGTCGTTGAAAATCTACGTACCTGTCTTCACAAGAGCACATAAGCATTCATAAGACGGCCCAAATAAAATCAAAATGTTGGTATCTGACAAGCGCATTCTTTGATTTTTTTTTATAAATTTTTCATAGGGTAGCGAGCTACTTCAGCCTAATCGCCTATTTTGGGCCTATCGAGAAGAAAACATAAAATAAAACCATGATTTCGGAGTTAACAAGTCAATTATGCGTTTGGTACGATACTTCTGTTCAAAATCTACCTAACGTGTGATATGAATGTTTGCATCAATTATTGTCAAAAACAAAAGAGGCGCTCTGACGGAATTAATTTTTATCTTCATCCGATAGCCCGAAGTAAATTCAATTTGGTGTTTCAATGCATTAGGCTGAGTTTAGAATCCGTAGGCTGAGTTTGGGGTCAACAAGCAGTATTAGATTTTTAACAATATCTCAACAATGTGTTACTTTTTATCAAATCTTGCGATACGTACGGAAAGTTAATTAAATTTGGAAGGCATTTACAGTGAGAACATTCCATTTTGTGAAAAAATCAGTTCGAAAAATAGAAGCAAAGGGTGGGCTGTGTTTAGTAGGCCCAAAATAAGATCTAAGCCCTATTTCAATTTCGCAGGGTGCATATTTGCTGCTCAACTTCGCTCAAATGAGCACACAGTTATAAAATGGCATCCATAATTTCGCTTATGCATTTTGCAGCACAGTTTTTATAAATGAAGCACATGTTGATGTATATTTATGCGCCCAGTTAGTTTTGATTTAAAAACAAAACAAATCGGCTATCGGAGCTGGTTACCCATGCAGTAACCGTGAGTAAACACTATGACGGGTCTGCTCGAACTTGGAAAACATTGCCGTGATAGTCGACCACTTGAAGAACAACTGTTTCTAGGAGAACCATACTTGCATTGGATTGATCCGATATGCTTCATCGTTGGATGACGGTAGATGGCCCAGGGTTCTACCACCATTTGTTGCACTATGGGGAATTTCAAAAAGGCTAATTGTAGCACAATCAGGAGGGCATTGCCTTACCTTCTGCCGATCCTCACATTGTTATTAGGTGCTCATACAATTGACAACTGCTAAATTTGCTAGCCTGCCATTTGTGTAATTTTGCGCTAGTCTTGGCAATTTTGTACTATGGATTCCGACTATCACTTGATCCAGGGCCAGCGAAACATAGTGCGTATCAGCGTAGTAAATAAAACCCTCAGAAGCTTGATGGCCACCTTACTAAATCTCAAATGCTGAGGTCCTTTGTCGTTATCATCAGAAGCCGATATCAATAGAAAATCGAGAACGTCAATGGAGGTGGGTCACCAAACACCCCCAATCAAATCCCAAATTTTCTAATAATGTTCACATGACTATGTGAAATTCCGTTCTAATCACACAAATTATCCATTTTCTAGTTGCGCTCTATGTGCTAGTTTTTATGACACAGATTACGCATACCTTAAGTATGACCTCACAGTTAGCAGTAAAACCTTTTCCACTTTCCTTATGTTGAAACTCTCATAATTGTTACAGCATGTGCGATAAAAACAAAACCTATTTTCCAAACATCACTCACGTCGCATTTCATAGCAACTCTGTAAACTTTCCTTTCATGTCTTTAGTTCAAATAAATTCATTCCCAGTTAAGACTCCATAGGTGACTAACGCCATTTATAAAATCCGAAGTCCGGTTCTGCCACACCACTATTAAGAAAGAGTAAAAACGAAAACTGAAAACAAGTCGATAGGAAACCGGTAAACATCGCCGAAGAGGACTCTGGGACTCATAACGGTGAAGCCTCATAAATGAAAATAAAGTAATCTACAGAAAATCGACCTCACGTAAATATACTTCAAATGAATTTGATAAAATATTCATACTTATCAGCAGTACTTCATACTTACCATATTTCACCTACATATGTAACGATGGGCGCTTCCATGAATCCAACCCCGAGGCCAAGCAGAACAGCCGCTGTGTACATCTCTGTCAACGATCCAGCTTGATATAGCATCAACCAACCAATAATATGAGGAATATTGACTAAAATCATCGACCGTTTCCGCCCCAACGGCTCCAAGACGATACCGGACAGTACACTACCAACCGGTTGACATATGTATGCAATGCTTCCTGAAAGAAAAAAAAAGAATGACTTTATGGTCCAATGCGCTCAAATATCACATGTTCTTTTACCAAACCACGATGCCTGTGCCGGTGTAAAATGCAGAAATTCATCCGGAGCTCGATTTTTTAAGCCGCGCAGCGCCGGGATGACTATCGTGGGAAGAGCAACTGCCATTCCCAGATCCAGTAGGAGGAAATTCTTCGCCGTACTGGCCAAAATCTGCGGTAAGATGGTTCGAAACCTTCCCGCTTCCGGTTTCTCCTCGTCACGTTTAACGGTTCCATTCCTTAACTCCATTGTCGCAGTCCCATTCACGCTGGGGCTGTCCGCGTTGATTGTGTAAACTGATTTGCTGAGGAATACAATAATAAAGGTACAGTTATGATTTCAATTATACAACAAAACACTAAATATACACGAACCCCATGACGTTGCAGTACCGTTAACAATGATCAGCAATTGATCAATGAATTCGTATGCAAAAGGATGTGGCTTAGTTCAGTTCAGGCAAATCGCATCTTGTCCGCTGCTGCGTGATTGGCTGTGAAATAAAAACTTTCAAAGTGTACTCGTTAAGATCGCTAGTACTACCAGTAGAAGAGATAAGGATCAGGGAAAATTGTTCTCGTGTACACTCGACTTAAAAGCTTGATCCTGAGTCCAGTTCAATCCGCAGTTTTCTACGGTCTGAATGTGCTGCTCGTTATAATGTCTGGGTCGGGATTGTTTGTATAACAGATATTTTTTATTGCGCTCTGATGTTTGACACTCATCACGATTAGTATGTCTAATATAAGAAAGTCTTTTCTTGAAATTGGAACAGGGTCATTATGAACAGGAACTACATTTAAATTTTTATATTGTTGGCCTCCTCATGGGATCATTCCTATCTCCGGTAATGTCTGGCATATGTAACGTCGCTCGTATGGTAAGAAAAACTAATGAATAAAATGTTCGGGTCATTGATCTTTGATTATTGCTTAGCTACTAGTGCCATATCGTATTTCCGAGATAACGCTGTAGTTAATATTTTCTAAATGAAGCTCTAATGAGTTACGGAAAAGATACTCCCCCCTATTCTGCGAGTCACGTGACTCTCTCTCACCGGTGAGGTGACAATAGTCACCTCGTGTGAGATGACTCTCCATTTGATTTGCACGGAGAGTCACCTCACACGAGGTGACAATTGTCACCTCACCGGTGACAGAGAGTCACGTGACTCGCAGAATAAGGGGGACTGTGTTACCTGACTCATAAAGAATATACATTCTATATTATTTAACATAGCACAATGAATGTAAAATTAGACGAGTTCATGTTTTCCCGTATGTTCGGTAAAATTCAGGTTACACAGTAACCATATGTTGGTTGTCGGTGCAAGTACAGCTGACCTGTCAATTGTAGATTAACAACTACGGACAGTCAATCATGCTCAAGCATTTCTTATCGAGCGCTCGCGTGACTCGGTCGAGGTCCCGAGTTCCATCACAAAACGCCCCTTGAAGCCCAAGGAAAACAACTCTATGTTCATATCAGAGACGTGTTGGGAGCTTGCGATCTATGCTATATGAGCAGTTCCACGCCAACTGATGAATCGCTTGCATTTGACCATCTCCGAGTTCCATAAAACGTCGCATAATTGTTCACTATGGGTAATGCACTAAGTTTGTGCTGGAATTTGGACATTTTGACTCACGCCTAACTTTTTAAAATGGCGTATTCCATTATTTCAATAAATTGTAGTACGAAAACGGTTCATCTAATCGGAATGACGTCTGGTACAAAGGAGTAGGAAATTGAATTGCCCTTTCAGAAAATACACACACACTTCAAGCGAATCCCGTTTTGATGGAGGAGGCTTATTGGATAGAAATTACACACTGAAAAAGAATCATATATTTTCGCCATAAATTTAAAAAAAAATGTTTAAAACTTCAATAAAAAAAAAGTACATTTTTATGTTTTTAAAACATATGTTTAAGCTTTCAATTATCAAAAATTCGTTTTTGAATAAACACAATGGACACTTTAAAATACACAAATAATTTGTATTGTTTTTTATGCAGAACACATATTTTTTAGTCCAGAAGAGAGCGTATGAGACTTAAAACCATAATTTTTCAAATGGTAATGCCTTCGACCAGTTCAATGGTAGTCATTTGGAGTGCCCTGCTTGACACATGCCACATCCGTACTGAATGGTGCCCCCCGCTGGCGACATGCGTACCTCATCTAATTATCCATCGGCATAAAGGGTGTCCACGATGAAATTGCCACACTATGAAATTGCTCTAACTTTTTAACCGTTGGGTAGAATTTAATGAAAATTTGGGTGGATTTAGTTCATAGTGCATTATTTACATCCTGCAAGTCCTGTGATCAAAACTCGCGGAAATGGAGTCGAAAGAACAGCTCGTGCGTGATAAAATCTTGCGCATTCATCACGAGAACAAGGATCTCTCGCATCGTTCCATCGCTAAAACGTTGGGAATCGCGAATTCCACGGTGTCGCGAGTGATTAAGCGGTTCGAGGAACGGTTGACCACCGATCGGAAGCCCAGAAGTGAAGGAAAAAGTATTCCGTACAACACCAAAAATCACAACCGCGTAGTTGGGGCCTTCAACCGAAATCCGAACGCCTCCGTTAGGGATGTGGCTAAGAAGCTGCACCTAAGCCGAAGTTTTGTCCAGAAGGCCAAAACTAAGGCTGGGCTTCGAACGTTCAAGGTACAAAAGGCCCCTAATCGCGACGAGAAGCAGAACAAGTCCGCCAAAACCCGTGCCAGGAAGTTGTACCTCAACATGCTGACTAAAGTTGAATGCTGAATCATGGACGACGAAACATATGTGAAGGCCGACTTCAAACAGATCCCCGGCAACCTGTTTTTCACGGCCAAGGATAAGTTCAGCGTTCCGGAGCATGTCCGCACTCAGAAGATGTCCAAATTTGCGAAGAAATTCCTGGTTTGGCAAGCCATCTGCACGTGCGGGAAGCGGAGTGCACCTTTCGTGACCCAGGACACGATGAACGGACAGGTGTACATAAAAGAGTGCCTCCAGAAGCGGCTGCTTCCTCTCCTGAAGGCCCACAACGTCCCAACAATCTTCTGGCCGGATTTGGCCTCATGCCACTACTCCAAGGACGTGCTGAAGTGGTATGCGGACAATAAGGTCAATTTCGTGCCGAAAATGTTCAACCCTCCCAACACACCGGAGCTCCGCCCCATCGAGAAGTACTGGGCGATTATGAAGCAGCACCTTTTTAAACGACCTAAGGTAGTGAAGACAGTCGAGGAACTGAAGAAAGTATGGGTTTACATGCAAAAAACGGTTGATTCACAGGTTGTGCAGAATCTTATGGCCGGGGTTAAGGCCAAGGTGCGGGCATTTGCGTATGGACTGTAAATTAAATACGAGTAAAATGGTAAAATGAAGTTTAATACAGAAACGAATGAACTTCACACAATGAGCAAGCGCCGCAACAATAGTTGCTATCGAAGAACAGGCTATGGCGTGACCGAAAAACACTCAGCTGCCTGTGTCGACAGCAAAGAGAACACTGAGGCCAATACTTCGGAAAAATGGTATGATTCTATGAGCACAGTTTAATATTTCAGAGACTCTGAGAAACTTTCGAGGTCTACGTCATAGAAAAAAAATTAAATTCTAGGATTCGGGAAATTTGCAACTTTTTTAATTGCTTTATTAGCGAGATTTTAGACACAATGGCTAGTTCATCTCGCAAATCATGTGTTGGGTATTTTTGTTTGCGTTGTAGTAGAACGAATAGTGTATCCCTAAGCATCTTCCCATTACGAGAAAAGGGTTTTTGCAACGTTAAAACAAGCTTATTTTGAAAGCTCAATCTAGAGTTGAGTTGATATGCAGTAAAAAAAAGTGTTTTTGCAAGGTTTAAAGAGTATTTCAATGTTTTAACATTACATTTTCATAGCGGTCACGGTATAACCACAGACAAACAGACGTAACTCTTCATTGTGTATCTTCGTTCATGCATTTAACGGTTGATTTGAATATTATCAGTTCCGCGAACTACTCGCCGCAGCGCTGGCATCGGATCACTTTGACGTTTCTATATATTCTATAGAACTTTTATGCAATATTGTTTACGAGCTAGCGAGCAAGCTTGTTTTCCGCGAGAAGCCAGATAGATGTCGCTACTGAAGTTATATGTTTTGAGATACTATGTTTTCAAGAACAAGTTTTTCAAAGAGTTACGTCTGTTTGTCTGTGGTATAACCATAGAGGTAACTCTAAGACAAGTAGGTCCCGAAGAAACGTGCTCAACTTTTTGGCTCACCTCTGGTACTATCTTCGGTCCCAAGCTTGTCGAATCACCCCTCGAAACATAGGAAAAACCAATAACCCCTCATTTTATCTGTCAAACTTTCATGGCGAATCAAAACAAACATTGCGTAGTACTAGAATTTCGACTAGAATAGGGTACGTTAATCGTTTGCTTGGGACCAATAGGCTACTAAAGTGGTGAGCCAATTTAAAATCGTTAGTTTCGTATTGATTGTTGGTATAACCAAGCCGGAAACCATGGATTCGCTAGCCGGTCCGGCTGAGGAAATCTTTCGGGTTGGAAATTTGTTCGACTTCCTTTGGCATAGAGTATCTTTGTGCTTGTCACACAATAGATAAATTCATGCATTGGTTTACATAAAAAAGCTCGCAATTTTGAAAGTGCTTCCCTGAACACTAGGTTGATAGCAAGTGAAAGCTCGTTTGAAAACGTCAAAAGCCAGATAGAATAAGAAGAGCCAAACTTATTTCACTCACATCAATTGCTAGGCTAAAAAAATATACTTTCATAAATACAAAATTCACCTATAACGTTATTACCAGTTATTTGATGTATTGTGGTATATCCCGTGTCCTTAGTTCAGTTTATGTCGGGTCCAGGGTCCAGGGAAGTCGAAAAAAATTCCAAGTCGAAATATGTCTTCAACAGGCTTCGTAATACCGGGCCATTACTGACTAGGCTATCTGAGGTTATCTAACGTAAATCATCTGCGACCAATAATCCAGCTGTAAATTGATCTATGTGGTCTACCCCACGTCGTATGTTTAGTGCATGTCGCATTACTCCGTCACTATTGAGAAATGATGAACGAATTGCTAAAGCATAACATTTGTTGAATAAATATATGCTCTCGTTTTAAAACTCCATATTTAAGCCTTTAAACGTCCCAATAGTGGCATAGCCTTGGTCGATCAACTTTGATTGAAACCCCTTGATTTAAACACAATCCCTCCTTTGCTGACCTAGAAGCCTAATCAATCTGTTCCGGTTGTTTTATTGACCGCGAATAGTGTCCGTAGAATAACGACAATAAAAATATGAAAAACATTGATGCGTGAATCGTACTTTTGTTATTTTTTTGTTCTTTACCACGATCTAAAATCATGTGTTGGGTATTTTTGTTTGCGTTGTAGTAGAACGAATAGTGTATCCCTAAGCATCTTCCCATTTCAACAAAAGCCGTAAATACAACATATTTAATGTCAGAAATTATACATAAACGTTTAGG